TTTTGCTAACTTATTTGGCACAGCAGATCAAAAACCCAAGCCATAACTATTTTATTTTGCCATCCTAATGATCCTAAGTGTTTTGAGGAAAAGCTTAACTCCAGTTAAGTTCTGAACATTTATACAACCCAAAGTAGCAGATGATTTGTGCATGCTCTGAATCCAGTTTAGATTGTTTGACAACTAAAGGCTTGGGTCTCATCTTTCTTAAAGATGTTTTATACCAGTGTAATACACCAACTTCAATGACATAAATAAGATTAGACTCAAACCCAAAATACTAGGAGATTTATATTACCTGTATCAGGATGAATCCTAAATGCTGGTAAGACACCATCTCTGTGCATCATGCCATATTTCACTCTACCATTGGCTCCTTCATCAGCATCAGTGGCCTCAATTTGCAGAACAAATGTCCCTGGAGGCTGGTTTTCCAACACAGAAGCATGTTCCCGATAATCTTGACACTAGGGAAAAATCTCAGATACTTCACCCACCATTTAATTTAAAGCAGGAAATTCAAATGAGGTAAATTAGGGCAGCAAAGATTTTTTTTCCTAGAGTGAAATCTTTTATGACAATGAAGCCTGGAAGTCTAAGCCAACTCCCAAATTGAGAGAAAAAAAAACTTTAATCTGCTTTAACTAGATTCTTAGACATTTTTGTTCCTGTATACACATTGTGACCAATCCATTAACTTCACTTACTACTTTGTACTTTTTAAAACTATATGGAGATGATTAGTTGCATCTTGCAAGAAAGCAATATATTTTGACAAAACTGCTGCTGTTGCAGATGATTCCAATTGTAAAACCTTTTCCTCTAATAACTGAACATTTGCAATTTGGTCAAAGCAAGTTTTCAGTACAAGATAGCTTTGTCAAGAATAGGTGAACAGCATTTATATCTGATCCCTAAGGGCCACAGGAATATTAGCTGATTTTGCAAAATATGCAACAATATCCTTCTGCATATCTGGAGGCAGTATCATGCTCATAGTATCTGAGCAAAGAAAACTTTAATCAACATTGCTGAAAACTCAATTTATGCTATTTATTTTAAAAGTACTTTAAAATTAAAGCTTTTAATATTTTTATTGTCATAGCAATTGTAGTGCATGTTACCTATTTCAATGCAGAAAGGTAGTGTAGTCTATGGCAATAACTGTTAATTGGATTTACAGGATGATCTTAGAAAATGGTTAAGATATGTATTTAGTACTTCCCACATACAATACACAAAACTGAACCTTATTCTCTATAAGCTATTTAATATAACACACAAGCTAGTATATTTACCTTCTGAAATACAGGTTTGTTATTGTTGACATCGTCAATTTTCACAATGACAAGTGCTGTGCTAGTGAGAGAACGAGGCCCTCCAGAGGCATTATCATCAGTAGCTGTGATATTAAGAACATATTCTGCCCCCTGAAGCTTAGGAAGTGGATTTGAGCGAAGTCTAATTAACCCTATAAAAATAGAAACAATACATTTTGTGTCTCTTGTTTTTCACTATTTTAACTGATTATCACTATTCTCTCCACCACTTATGTACTATGCAATTTGGTTTAAACAGAAAGTTGTACCGGTTTACCTAAAGTGATGATTTTGAAATTATTTTAGCTAAACTAGTGCAACTTTATGTATTGTCATTTTTTAATCAATTTCCCATTGTCCGGACTAGTAGACTGATCCAAAATTCATCAAAATCAGAAAACTTCACTGATTTCAGTGGGTTTGGCCATAGATTCATAGATATTTGGGTCGGAAGGGACCTCAGGAGATCATTGAGTCCAGCCCCCTTTCCTGGACAGGAAAGAGCACTGGGGTTAGATGACCCCAGCGAGGTGCATGTCTAGCCTCCTCTGAAAGACCCCCAAGGTATGGAAGAGCACCACCTCCCTTGGAAGCCCATTCCAGATTCTGGCATCCCTTACCATGAAGATCTTCCTGATGTCTAACCTAAAACTACTCTCCATCAGTTTTTCGCCGTTGTTCCTAGTTACTCAAAGAGGTGCCCTGGGAAACAGAGCATCTCCTGTTCCTTGCGTGTCTCCCCCCCACCAAGGAATGTGTAGGCTGCCACAAGATCACCTCTCAGCCTTTTCTTGTGGAGGCTGAAGAGATCCAGAGCCCTCAATCTCTCCTTGTAGGGCTTTGTCTGCAGGCCCCTAAAATAGGGCCTGGTCTTAAATAGGCCAGGTCTTAAATAGGGCTCAATGAATTCAATCAGCTGTAACTGCAGCCAGTAATATACACTCATTGTACATTTTTAAAGTAGTCACTGCAAGACCCACAACTCTGGCTAGGAAGCAGCAAAGATGTTTTCCCCCTTACATAAAATCTTTTATGGCAAAGTCTGAGCCAACTCTCAAATTTAATTTTATCAGTTAGTAATACAATAACCCAGAGCGGTATGAAACAGCTAGCTGAAAATACCAAGAGGCTAGGTAGGTATAAGATCTACAACTGGGTAAGATAACTATGATTTAGAAAAAAATCCCAAACCCACACAGCCTGGGCAGGTAGGCCAGGCATTAGATAGATATGCTTTCTGGGAGGGGGATCTTGGCACCAAAGGCCAGTGAGTACCTCAAAATCTACCCCCTGGAGGCTATTCCAGTTAAAATCCTCACATACAAATACCCAACCGATAGTGGCTAAGTACAGACAGTCAAACAATCCAAGGCAGAACCAATTCAATCTTCGCAGGTTTCTCTAGGTTGCCCAGACTGAACTGATAACTAACTGAACTGAAGATCAGTTTTTAATTGGGAAAGGCAGATGGAGGCCTGCACTGACCCAAGCCAGAAGGTGGGGGGTGCAAAAGCATGCCCCCCAGCCTGCCCCCCCCACGAGCAGAAAGCACCCCCCTCCAATGCTGCCCCCTCACCCCATGACCTGGGCATCTGGCCACAGGAGCAGCCTCATGCCTCTACTCAGACCAGCCTGGGAACCCCTCAGCCCTGATCTCCCTCCTCAGCTGCAGGTGGGGGGGCACTAGAGTAATTCCCCTCAGTGCAAATCACTGATGTGCAGGAGAAAGGGC